CGCACAGCCTCCTTGCGTGGCCAGTGCAGGAACTGGGGAGCAACCACCACACACCCCACCAGCACAGCACAAGGGAACACAACAAGCAAATCCCAGTGCTGCTGCAAGTGCCCAGCTGCTGCCTTTGACTTCAGTCCTGGGTCCCTACAGGAGGAACAGCTCTGGCTGCAGCAGTGCGAGCCCTGTGCAGCCTTGTCAGCCTCCAACCCTCCTGCCTCTGCAAGAAGATGCTTCTCAGAGATTCACCAGTGTCTTAGCTCCCAGTCATCAGAGAAGCCAGGCTGCTTCCAAGCACACCTGTGCCCTTTGCTCGCAGAGAACAGGCAGCTCTAGCAAACCAGATGGCCCAGCCAGAGGACAGTTCACAACCCACTCCTCCCCAGCTCGCAGAAGCTTACGGTCCAGCGCAGTCTGACGGCGGATATGGTCAAAGAACTTGGTGTTGTTGGCGAACATCCCCCCACAGGTAGGACAGGCCACCACCTTCTCCTGCGTGTGGCTGCGCAAGTGCTCCCGCAGTTTGCAGCGCCCCTTGAAGGTGCAATCGCAGTCTAAACAGAAACAACAGAGTGTCATTAAGATCCTTCACACACGGGCCACGATCCACAGCCTGACTGAATGGCAGGCTTCTTGCTTCTGCTTTGACTAGCAAGGATCAACTTCCTGCTCCAAAAAGACCACAGAGCAGGGTCACAGCAGGATGACATCACTAGCGTACAACTGGCGTAGGCCCCCCCACCGCAAGCAGCTATGGCAATTGCACAAACAAAGGAGAGAGAAATTATTCAAAAAAATTAAACTGGAGCGTTTTCTTCTAGGCACTAATTAAATATAAATGAAGAGTTCAATATTAAGCACTCAACTGGATCCCCTGAAGGAAATTCTACAGGAATATTTCACTGTTAGGACCACGCACACGTATTTTTGAAGTTCAAGAGGCTCTCTGAAACTCTGCCAAGGAGTGCAGAGTTCTCCTGTACAGCGTTTGCAATCCAGCCCTGTGCAAAGCTCTCTAGAGAGGCCCTGCATGCACCCGCTAACCTTTCCAGCCACAGAGGACCACGTGGTTCTCCTTCCCTGCTGCTTTGTACTCCGAACAGAAACTGTGATCCTCCACATGCCGATAGAACCACTCGGGATTATCAAATGATCTCTGTTGGGGAGCAGGGACAGACAGAAGAGGGTGAAAAGATCAGCACAAGCTGGCCTCAGCCAGAGCACAACATACGCTTTCACACAGGTACAAACACAGCCAACAGGCAGGCATGCAGGTGAGCTGCAGGACAAAAGCAGCTCTCCTTCCCTTGGCCGCCACGCCACAGAAAACACACAGAAAAGCAAAACTGGGTCCCCTGTTCTCACCTCACAGTACTCCCACAGACACAGAAAGTTCTCCTGGATCTCGGGGATGATATTGCGGCTCTGGAAGTCCAGCTGGCAATGGCTCACATCTGACTGGCTCTGCAGGGCCCGTAGCCCCCACTGCTTCAGCTTGGTGTGGTAGCAGTGGAAATAGACGTGGCGAATGAGGTCAGCTGAGCTCTCTGGGGCAGCAGCTGGTGCGTGGGGGAAACAGAACCCCCCTCCCTGCCACAAACACGTGTATTCCTCTGCAACGCAAAGAGGAGATATACAGGCCACAATGGTCTGATGGAAACTCTCCAAGTAAAGCTCAGGTTTACACAGACAAGCACCACGGCTTGTTTCATGAGACTCCCGTCCTGCAACAGGCAGCGCTGCTCTCCTCAGGGAGAGGACGATTCTCTCACAGTGAAATATCTCAGGGAAGCGGGAGGGCTCACGAGCCGCAGCGGTCCAGGCCGCCAGCTCCTTACCGAGAGGGTCCACCTCGTCCCGCTGTTCCCCGGGAAGGTGCTGCTGCAGGTGCTGGGCCACGTGCTCGCAGAACTCCTCCATCTTCGAGGCCACGTAGGCGCACACCTACCACTCGCA